TGTTAATACATCGAAGCATCTCATGTTCTACATGTTCTTTAAAGGGTTAGTTCACCCAAAACTGAAAATTCTGTAATTAATTACTCACCCTCATGTTGTTCGAAACCCATAAGACCTTCTTTACAGTTGAACCACTGATGTCACACGGACTACTTTGTCGATGAAAAATAATGCGTTTTTAAAAAAACAAAGCATTAACACATGTTAGACTGCACCCCATAAACACAATCAAGCCTAGAAAAAAACCAGTGATCATCTCTGTCTGTGGCATATTTTGGGCAGATGGGCGGCAGTAGTCGGTTGTATGCGTCAACTGAGAGGGGCAGGATGCTGAAGGGAGGCCAAGCAGCTGACACAAGCACTCAATACAAACAGCCATCGATCTGCATTCAATCTACTGTACATATTAGCAATCAGAGCAGGGAGAAATCTGATTGGCAGTGAAATAATGAGACTATTCTTCCATCATTGGCTGTGAAAAATCAGTGCTGTTAATCAACTGACCCAGAACCATTCATCACAATGGCAATCTTTAGATATTACAGTGTCTGTTTGAGAGATACCCTGTAGTTCAGAGACTGAGTCATTGTAGTTATCACAGATTCACAGCTTACATGAAGCAATTAACACACAAAGCCCACAGTTTGTCAGCCGACGTCCTACAGTGTCCTGCTCTTCATATTAGTCACCACTGCGGCTCCTGACTGTTTGTCAGATTCAAGGGAAAAAGCCGATACCAACTCAACTGGAGCATTAGAGAAGAGACTGCTGGGTCGATATGAGGACCTGTTTGTACTGATCGATGACACCTTGATTCTTGTTAATAGGACTATCCTGATGTCATCTCTGAGAAGCTCTGGGATGTCATGTTGTTTAACTGTGAAAACTGAGCCTCACACCTTACAGTGCCTTATGACTTCATTTATTGGCTCTCTTCTCTTCGATGGCTCTAAGAATTAAGCCCAAAGTATTCTTCAGCTTTGACGTGAATGTGTATTCGTACAGCCTTTTAAAGTATCCACCTTAATTTGTAACACAAAAACAAACCAGTGATAATAAAGTATTATGATAACATGATATCAAAATACTAGTTTGTAATATAAATCAACAAAACAGGCATTTTTGTACACAAAAAGAACTTGAAGGAAATGTCACCGGAAGCTGATGGTGCCTTCAATTCATCCTGGGAAATTAAAATACAACATTAGGTGTGTTCAAGTCATTTTGGTCAGAGCAAGATGGCGATGTACCGTTTCTACATAAAATCAGCAAGCATTATATGAAAACATGGTTAAAGTGTTTTTATTTTTTTGCATTTTGAAGATTCTGTAAATTGAATTGTAGTATATATTCTATTGTAGTTGTACAATACAATGGTGTTTTGTAAATGCATATATATATATATATATATTCGTGATCCATATACATATTCATAAGAAATATATGTAATGCACACACACACACATATCGATTATCGATTTGACAGCCCTAATATGTACAGTATGTATATGTATATATATATATATATATATTTAATTCATTTTAACAAATTTACAGTCTATACAGATGCTGCGCCTACCCTTTCATCCTTGTATGTAGAGACCGCCCACTTTCGCAAGCAAAAGATTTAGACACGCAAAATAGACAGCAGAAAATGGTTTGTGGTTTCGTGATGAAAAGTGTTTGAAGTGCACAAAGAAAAAATTTTTTTTTCCAAAATTTACACGCACTGCAAAGAATTTTGTTATCAATTACTTTATATTTGAGCCTTTAGAAGACTTTTTTTGCAATCTTTTATTTTTTTAATTACAAAACAATTAGTTTTACTCTCAAACACAGTATGTTTGATTGAATAAAAAAGACAAAAGAAACTCCATAAGCAGCTGCTCATTTGCATTTAAAGATACAGGCACGAAAATAGCGTTTTTGCTTCCACTCAAAACGGGCATTTTCAAAATGGTAGCCTATAATAAATGATCAGTGGGATATTTTGAGCTGAAACTTTACAGACACATTCTGGGGACACCTGAGACTTATATTACATCTTGTAAAAAGGGGCATAATAGGTCCCCTTTAAACTGTAATCTGCGATCTCTGACCCAGTTCTTTTGCTGGCTTCAGTGGCTTCAGTGGTTGCTGTGTTTTACAACAACTGGCAACCCAAGGTGTCGGAATACTATTGGGTGAATTGGCAGCTGGGTGGAATCCCACAGACCAAAACAAAAACAGACATTCCGACACGGAATGCACATTTCAAAGTAGAATAACTGGCTATCGGATTGTTTTTCTGAGAAACAAGTAGCCTATGTGAACTTAGCATGTTTCCTAAATATCTGCAAACATATTAATATTTTAATGCTTTAGTACAGTCCAAAAAATTACACACAGCACTGTATTTGTAAAAAAAAAAAAAATGCAGTATATTTTGTGCTTTAATCACACATGATTTTGTACATGTCACGTTTATATTTCTATTATATACTCAATGAGGAACATAAATGTATTTTTATTTGTTTGATTGTTTATTTTGCAGTTCTCTCATGGATAAATAAAATTATCCTCAAGATGGTTCTGAAGTAATTACACTGTGAGAGCTGTAGACATGGAAAATATGGTATGTGATTTTTATCTTAATGTAGTATTTAAAGTCTGTGTTCTACCAGTATAAAAGATATACAGTCCATAAGAAGTCAATCAGTGTTTCTAGTAGTAGATAAATGACATAAATTTCCTAGAACAGCTATATTTTTGCACTTCAATCTATTATTTTGCTTAGCTGACCTATGGCTATTTTTTTTTTTTTCTGCTCAGAGAAGAAATTACTCTCTTGTCTCCAACACATTGGCGCTTCAGCCCAAAACCAGCAATGCCATTCGTCGCAGGTTCTCTGGGCCTCTCCTGCTTCCACCTTTGGCCCGCAGACACTCCAGCTTGGATGGCAAGAAGTTAAAGGACCTAGAAGCACTGTATAAATCAGCCCTGGTTTACGCGGATGTCCAAAAAGAAACAGAGTGAGTCATCTTACACACCATAACATTCTCTCCCAACTAGATTTAGGTGGCTGATAAAAGTGTACAAAATCCCAACTGATGTGATTGCAGCTACTCTTCAATAGACCTCTGATGATTGAAGCACATCCTTAGAAATCAAAGACATACTGCTGCTGTCACGTGCCGAGTGGTTTCCAAAATGGACACTGAGTGTGCAGTTACTGACACTGTGAGCAAAATGTGACTCAGTTCAATCATGATGCTTATTGTTTTTATGTATAAGCTGACATGGTGTGCACCACAGTGAGTGTGTTTGTTAAATGGCACCGAAAAGGTATACAAAGATCTGTTCTATTATAGGGCATGAAGAGAACTATAGCTACAGTATGGACAGATTTTTTTGGAGGGTTACTTCTGATACATTTTCCTCTTTTGTATCTAATGAATTTTAATCAAATAACCTGGGAAAGCAAATGAAAGAAAAGGCATGGAGATTTGAGCAGAGAGTGAGAACAACTCCAGGGTGCTTCTACTCTGTTTACTGATCTGATAAAAGGGCACAATGACTCTGAATGAGATCATATGAACACATGCTATATTTAACTTTTTGCTAAATGTGCACTGGAACACCTGATAGAAATGTTGTGCTGCCACAGCTTGTCTAATGAGGTCTGTTCCTGCTGAGGGGAAAAAAAGCATGTCACATCAGCTTATAAAATGGTCAAGCTTGTTTTTGGAACATAGCAGCTGGTTTGTTACTGGAAGGTGGTCTACCAGCTCTAACCAGATTTATCAAGGTCTGTCAGGTTGATAACGGTCCCACCAGCTGGTGGTCCATTTTCTAAATCAGCTTGAAGCAGTTTATGATGAGAAATGGCCAGCATGATCCAGCAAATACCCATAAAACACCTACTAGAAGGTTACAACATATAAAAAGGCTACCATATATAAATGAGACCCCAATAATTAAATGCAATCACATTATTACTATTCTTCAATATATACTTTTTATGTGACCAATTGTGACCAATCAGACCTAATCATCATTTAAAAAACAACAAATAATTTTTCGCAAAATTTCCTGCCAAGTCCTACATCCTCCCAGAAGAAAAGTTTGTGTTGGAGCGCGGGTGTTACGTATCCGGTCCATGAACTTCCGTCTGCTAGCCATCAGAGGTCACTCTTTCCATTTCATTGACTCTCGCACCACACACTGTTGCATATCACCCCGGACTACATATCCCATCATTCATTACACTGATTGCACACAGCACTGATTGCACACAGCTGTTTCATATCACTCACTCACTATTTAACACTCAATCTCTCTCCTTTCTAACGGCCGAGTATTGTATGCGCTTATCGCACACAGCTGTCATCAATCACACCGTCCCTATATAACACTCACTCTTATCCCTGTCAAGCTGCCGAGTATTGTATAGCATTTATCACTCTCTTAGCGATAGCTACTCTACGGAGCCTGTTTACTTTTCTTAGCCTTAGCTTAGTCTTGCCTTGTCTGTTTCCTCGTGTCCTTATCTTCGCCTGTGTATCTCGGATTCCCCCTCTCGTCTTGCCCTATTCTGGTACTGTTTGCCCCTGCCTGGACCTTTGCTTTGTACCTGGATGATCCCTCTAGTCTCGCCCTATTGATCCTGTTTGCTACGCTAGCCCTAGGATATATTCTTGTGTCTTGCCTTCTACATACCTGTTGCCATTATCTGACCCTTGCCTGTCTCTACCATGTCTATTAATAAAGCTTTGCACTTGGATCCGCACGTCTCGTCAGCCCCGTAACAGCGGGAAAGAAACATAATTTCTATTTCAAGTCAAAAAAATAAATAAAACTCACAGTAGGTTTAAACCAGTGTGTTTATGTACTGGGTTTGAGGGTGTGTAAAGCACCTGGTGATGTAATGCACACTGGGCGTCACTGTAGCGCGCAGCTCTGCTGGATCTTTATATCCGCCTCAGCGCTCTTTCTCTCACACACACACACTTCAGCTGAGACGTTTCGCCTTTTTGTTTGCTGTGAGACGGCCATATGTCTCAGATAGTTTTTGAATTCACTCAAGGAGAGTGACTGAGCGAGTGTAACTTTGCCTCTACTGTTTTGTTATACTGAGCATTTCTGGGTTTTGCCGTGTAAACTTGAGTATATCGGTGTCTCCGGTTCAGCACCACTGACCGCTGAACAGCTCTCCAGGCATTGAGGAATTATACGCGTCCGCGAACTTCGACTGTTAAATATTCCAGACTTTGGACAGCTGAACTTGTGCAGTGATGGAGTGCTCGGCTCTGAGCAGGGAAGGCGCTGGTCTGGCCAAACCGCCCAAGCATCTCTGGAGGCAGCCCCGAACCCACATCCGAATCAAGCAGCGGTACCACTCCGACTCCGAGCGGTACCTGTGCTGTAACCGTGCCACGGAGAATCACCGCCCAGGTCTGAAAAAGCCCCGAATGTCCTGGCCGTCTTCTTTTAATAAACGGTAAATCGCAGATAACGGTTCTTTTGAAATGAAATAGAGTAGAACTTCCTCATGTGAAATGACACCTTACTCGTGTGATAGTTGTCTGTATCTCAGTATCTGTTAGGTTTTCCGCGAAACGTCCAATTACGCAAATGCTTGTTTTGAAATAGTGATGTTTTTTGGTTTCAAACATCTAGTTCAAAACCTGCTTAAATGAAATATTGTGGGGCAAATGTGCATTCTGTCCTCTAAATTTAAATTCTAATATCATTGTGTTTTTAAAAAAAAAGCTGTTTCAACTATAATGGAGGTAGATTTTAAATTTTATTTTTAGTTTAAATAAAATATTGCTCAGATGTCTGGTTGGGGCAAGTTGTCACAAACGTTTGTATTTTATAATATTATAAAATTCACTAGTTGCATTTTTTATGAGCCAAAACTGTCGCTTAGTTATTTTTTATTAATTATTATTAGTTTTTCTTTAATTATAATTATTTGTTTTTGTTGTTTTTGTACTAACATATTTCATGACTGTTTTAAATTTAGCTGAAAATGCATGAAGTATGCAGTACAAATACAGACACAACTGTGTTTTTACATATTATTTAACTTTTTTTCTAGGTAAAAAAGGGTAATTCTCAAATCAGTGTTAATAAACAGCAGGTTCTCATTGTGTCAGTCCACCCCATTCAGTGTGAAACATGCCCTGGCAGAACAGTTAGTTATGAATTATACATTTTTTCATAAAGTAACAGTATAAATGTTCGAGAGTGTCTGTTTCTATACAGAAATTGACTGTACAAAATAAACCCACTCTGAGAAATATTCACTGGAATATGAAGTGCGATAATAGGCCCTGGTCTTCCCTACACAGCAAAGTGAAATTGTTATATGCATTCCTTTCAACTGTTATCATAATGTTTTCTTCAGTCGAATCTCAGACTCTTTTCTGCTCAATAAATATTGCTGTAAAAAAAAACACATTTCATTTAAACCTCTTTTGATTAAGCAACATTTTCACCAGTCACCCACACAGTGATTTCTTAAAATGAAAGCACAAGTTATGCACAACGTGGCCATGAGATGTTGCATTAAAAATAGCTGACGGTAAGGCAGCGTATGGTCCGTGAACGCTGATTGTATCAAGCTATCAAGCTTTGAGAGTTCTACGACATTCATTTCCTTTGCATTACACTTTCCTGACCGTGTGGAACTGCTTTACATCCCTGTGTCTTTTCCAGAGACTATCCACTATCAGTCTCTTGTGCTTGTGATAATTCTTTTATTGATGGAAGTGTTTAGACTGAAGACTGATAATGCATCATGGTCTTTTATGATACTGTTTTGTTGGTTCCACATCCTGCTTTGAAACCATCTGAAAGCCTTAGTTGTGTTGTAAGTATACCAGACTAGTTTTTAGGTATAAAGACCTATTTACACCAAGAAGGATAACTATAAAATTAATGATAATTATATTAGAGTCCACACCAATGCACAAAAGCATTCTGTTTATTATAAGTGCATGCTGCCATTTTGTCGTCTGCATCTTTAAATGCTTGAGCTCTTTAAAGTCAGGTGGAATCTGATTGGTTGTCAGTGTTCATCAGCTGAAAAAAACAAAATCGCTCTGAAAGTGATTCCAGCAATACCGTTCTTCTGTGTTGTTAGCGTTATATCTCTGTGATGTGGACTTTCCTATTCTCAATTAGAATGATAATTAAAACTTAACAGCTATCGTTAGGGCTGCACAATCATGTTTAATCAGTTAATCACTATTATGTTGCTCAAAAATATAAACCTTATTAATCATGATTATTGTCATCTTTTTTGTTTTTTTTTTGCACTTTCACATAAGTATTCTTAAGTATTTCACTGGAGAGAAAATGTATAGATTTGAGAAAAAAAGTTCTGATTGGAGGATTTAAACTCTTGAAATCTGACAGCCACAACCATGAAAGCATGTTTTCAGGAAAAAATATTCAGCAGCCAAGTATCGCAGACCGTTATGCTTGTTATGTCACTTAAGCTTTTAGGATTGGGCTAGGGGAGAATGGGAGAATAACATTCGAAAAGTGTGTGTGCGTATATACACGAATGATGGCAGAAGGATGTGCAAGAGATACGGTTTTTAAACCGGGTGGTGTAAGATGATTGGTGGCGTGAACCAGGGCATCACCCTCCTGGACGAAGAATGACAGGCTGCCAGACCAGTGGAATCTGAAACATACAAACAGACTACCACACATATCCAATGCTTAATAAATCAAGAGAAGCATAAATCATGATGGCGATTAAAATATGAATTAATAGTCTTTTAATTTATCTTTCTGTATTATCTTTTGTTTGAGTAGGTTGAGTGGGCAAGGTTTATATGAGTTTGTCTTTCTCCATCTGTTCATTAGGGTAAAGGTTCTGTAAACAGTTTTTTTGGCAAGTCTTCTTACCATAAATCAAACAAGAGTGAGTAAAATGAAGCAAGCAAGCAGTAATTACGGAACCAAACGCACCAATGCTATATTTTACTGTAAGGATAAGTAGATGCATATGTGAAAAATAGTTCAAAGGTTTTGAGTAAATTTACAGTGTTGTATAGCTTTATAACCGTTGGTCCTTTTTAGTCAAATTTATGTGGTATTGGAAAAATTTGGCAGTGACATATAATTTTCATGCAAAATTGACTCATTTCAAGTTAGCAACTTCACGAGCAACTCCATGAAGGTTTGAAACAGTGTTGAACTCAAAAAGTCCAATATGTGACTTTTGTGATGCTTGTTCTGAATGTGGTCTGAGCCAGTGTTTGTATAGACGTTGGAGAAATAACAAAAAAATGATATATGAAAAGACATTTAAGAATTAACCATACTAATCTGCAAAATATATGCATAAATAAGTATGACTTCAGGCAAGTTATTTCAAAATGCCGATGTGTTTGTACTTTGGATAGTAGGAGGTGCATATGTTTAAAAAATCATAGTCTAAAATGTACAATGAAAAGGGTTTGAGTGATAACATTTTTGATAGCTATTTGCTTTTTTTTTTTTTTTTTTTTTGCTAGATAATAAGTAAGAAACCTATTGCAGTATTATGCAAAAGTTGTCACTTAGTTTTTTATAGCTATTTGCTTTTTTTTTTTTTTTTTTTTTGCTAGATAATAAGTAAGAAACCTATTGCAGTATTATGCAAAAGTTGTCACTTAGTAAGCCTATTTGCTCTCCGTCATTTCTTTTCCACAGCTAAAAGTGTCTGATAAATTTGCCAAAATAATGTGAGTATGTTTGCCTGGTTATGTGATCTCAACATGGCAGCACCATGAAGGGTGAACCACCTTTATGTAGAATAAAACAGCCTTTTAGGGCCCCTGATATAAATGATATGATTTAATATTGTATAATTATATATGTATAATATATATGATTTAATGGTTTAATATTGTATATGTGAGTGTAGATCATTGTAAATAGTTTTTAAGTTTTTAAAGCTGAATATAGTGCATCTCTAAGAATAAGTAGTATTCAGGATCCATATAAAGTAGCTCCATTTTTAGCAGTTTATGGATTTCCTCCACCTCTTTCATCAGATGTATCACTTTCTGTAGCACAGATGTGTTGGATTATCTGGGGAAAGCACTGCTGTTCTCTAGACATCTGGACACACAGCAGTCATTTACACATTTAAATGACATTATGCTGGTGTCAGGGTGGCTAATGGCGAGGATGTGTTTGAAGATTGATTTTAGTTGCTTTTGACACAGGTAGTCTAGCCATCACATCTGATCATAGAGATGTGCATTCTTCTCCAAAACTGCTACAGAGCAATTCAAATCCAAAAGCTAGATACATCTTTTTGGCCTGAAAAAGGCAGCATTCCATGTAATGTTTATGGGAAATTGAATCCCACAATGCATTGGTGGACAAAGTTAGAGAGATGAATTTACTTATATTTAGTTTCAAGAATCAATCAAATTAGTTCATTCCAGTTAAACATTGACTGTTTACGCAGTTTTTGCTTATTAGAGTATGTTCTTGTTAGCTTAGCAACATTTAATGTCAAACTCTTGGAATCAAGAGTCAAGTATGAGCTCCTATAAATTTAGGATGTTGCCTAATGGCAGAAACAAGTATTTGAACACCATAACCATAACCAAACACAAATAAGAATTACGTATTTAAAATAGGGGCACTATGATAGGAATATGTGAAAATGTCTTCATTTTTGGTCAGTGTTCTCTTTCAGCTACTGTCATGGTGGAGCAAGTTAGTTAAAGGGGTCATATGATGTTGCTAAAAAGAACATTATTTTGTGTATTTGGTGTAATGAAATCTGTTTATGCGGTTTAAGGTTAAAAAAACACATTATTTTCCACATACTGTACATTATATTGAAATTGCATCATATGACCCCTTTAAAGATAATATTTTATAGCAGTTTCCTTAAATCAAAGACTGAAATAAAGAGTTTTGTTACCGTAAAACTGACACAAGAGCTTGTGTTCATGGATTAGTGTAACGTATGCTTGTAGTCTTTAAAAGCAGCAAGAACAAACAGTGTGTATGTGAGTGAGAAAAAGTGCAGAAAAGAATCTACAGCTTATACAGTTAACCAAAGTTGCTTTTTAAAAGTTTGATGAACATTGTTGAATAAATATTGAATAACTTACTTTTAAGACCAAATTTGAACCTCTTTAAAGTGTTTTTGTAATGTTAGATATTCAATAAAGCTGAAACCCAAAAAGTATAATCCGGCACTCTCTCTCTCTCTCTCTCTCTCTCTCTCTCTCACACACACACACACACACACACAAATAATAAATAAATAATCCCATTGTCACCGGATCTATCTGTTGTGTCCTTCCTGGCCCGAGAAACGAAGGATACATTTCGAGGCCGTATTTGAAGGAGGCTTCGAATTGGGACAGCCTTCGTCATGCTACTGTGATGCATTCAGTCTTCAAATGCAGCCTTCGAAGGATGCAGCTTCTGATTTGGGACACAGCTATAGACTGAAAGCCTGTAATAAGC